AGGAATGAAAATCATACAAATATTTTTTTTTAAATAGGAACGGTAATATGTATAAAGAGCAGATACTGAAACACTGTCATCATTTTTCAGCCGTGGTCATACGTTTGGAAAATACAGTGGACAGATCAACTGGACTCTTCACTATGACATCGTCTCTTCAATATAAGCCAAAAAAGGCAGATGCTAAGGCACAGTTTTCCTGTAGTGTGACATACAATGGACCATCAGGATCAGAAACAATACAGTCTGAATCACTAGTCTTTGATGTTCATTGTAAGTTATAGAATTACTCATTTATGTTCACTCTGTAGCAGAATAATATTCGTTAATGTTGTAATGGTCTTCTTTTTCCAGGTAGATCAGAGAACATTTACAAAATTGCAGGAATGTGCCATTACTTTGTGAAATAAACCAGAAAAGTGATGATTTAGAGAATGGATATAATAGCTGCTTGCAGAATAACTCTGAAAAGTTATCTGGGGCTCTTCTTAGGCCATGGACACATGCAATTTTTGAAGCACTTCCAGTGCTGCTGCACTTCAAAGTGCTTCAGCCACAGATACACACACCAACTGAATGTGCACACACATGTGCCATAAGAGCACTTCATAATCATAACGGCAAAGAGCGGTGTGCTGTCCAACCAGGGGGTTTGCTTGATCTTGCGGCTCCACTGCCCATGTGTATGGGGAGAGCAGGACAGACAACCACTGAGCACTCTTCTGTGCACTCTCTCTAATCTCCTGATTTTGGAGCCTGAGACCATATAAAGAATTGTCTTAATATCCTTGGGGCTGGTAAGAGTGATTCCTTGCATGGCTTAAGTTGATTCAGGAGATTGCTGGGGATTGACAAGTGCATTCCCCGTGCTGGAACTCAGAGATCAGAAGCAGGGAGGAATGCAAGGATTGTTGCTCTCCAGCCCACAAGAGAGCACTCATTGGCTGTCTGCCCCACTTTTCCCTCACCCCCATGTGGGTGGGGAGGGCAGAGAGCAGAGCATGGTGGGATTCAACCCCCTGTTGTGCTCTGTAAAGCATGCACAATTAGTTGTTGTTTCATCCTGGCTTATTTTTAGAGTGGCTCATCAGGATTATTTTTTTGAGTGCTTGTCCTTTGAAGTGCTTCAAATGTTACAGCTGCCCAGGATCTAACTCTGCTTTCATTGGTATTAGAATTCTTACTATTATGGTGGTTCTACCAAGGAGAAAATAGTAGCTAGCAATAGTAGTAGCAACAGCTAGTAATATCTTCCAATGAATTGGAATTTCAAGAACCACTAATAGTCTATGGCTGAATATACTGAATCCAGAATAGTTTAAATAGGTGACTGGAACATGAAATACCATATGAGGTTTTAAAGAGGGTGTCATACCTTTTGCCTTATAAATTGTGCAGTAAAATAGCACCTTATTGTATGTTGTTTTCTACAGTTGCACCAGAATACTCAAATATGTTTCTTAGGAACAAACAGTTGGACATGAACTAGTAGTGCCAGAGACAACGTGGGAAAAATGTGTCCAAGGGAGTGCTCTATTACCCTTCTCCCTTCCTCCCAGCCCTTGTATTTTCAGCAGCAGCTGAGCAGTGTCACAGAGTACAAGGTATTCTGGAAATTGTAGTCCTCTAGAATGACAGTGGAGTTTGCTGCTGGGGGGGGCAACTTTTACCTCTTTTGCCTCCAAATCCCATATTGAGAGGGCAAAAAAAATGCTGATGTTGGCAGCAAAAATGGGGTCAATTTTCCCCTACAGCAGCAGACTCCACTGCTGCTGTACAAAACCACAATTCCCAGAATACCTTGCACTCTGTGATGCATACTGTCTGCACCTGCTGCTGCTTGCAGTTGGAAAGTGCAGGCAGTGTGCAGGATGGTAGGGTGAGATGACCTCTTCCCATCCTTCTTACACCTCTTCTTTTCTTTTATGCAGCCTCCAGGGCGCACATCCTGCTCACCCACCCCAGGTTACCCAAAAATCGTTCTGCTTAAAACAAGTTGGCTTTTCAGTTACTATCTTCCAGTTCTATCATAAGTTGAATTTTACACTTAAAACAATAGTGTTGTAATTGTTATAGGAATTATGTAGCTAACAATTTCCAACTTACTTAACTGCACAAGTTCCTTGCATATATTATTACTCACCAAGCAAGGTACAGTATTACAACCCTTGCTGAGCAAAGGTATCAGGTGACTGTCAAGAACATTAGCTAGACAGTACTTGGCAGCAGGAGGTGTCAAAGAATTGGAGCTTCTGACAGTGTGAAAGCTAGTAGGTCATAGTAGAGAGGAGAGGAAAACAAAGGACATTCAAAAAAAAAGGCAGACAAAACCTGATTTCTTTTGGTGTGCCTCAAGTGATAGCTTGAGTCCTAAAAGAGGTGGGTCCTGGTGAGACCACAGCTTTTGTCCAGACATCTGCTGTCACTTTTAAGTGGACTCAGCTGCACAAGGTTAAAAGGCGTAGTACGCTTGTTTTATCTTCCTAAGTTAAGGACTGCCACTGGGAATAAGTGGTCACTTAAAGTACTAAAAATAATACTTTCATGTCTCCTAATAGACCCGATTCCTAGGTGCTATATTTTTTGAGTCATGTTGAGGACCCTGGGCATTAGAAAAAAATTAAAACACTCATCTTCCTTCAAATACATTCAGTAATGATATTGTACTAAGGTAAGCGTGAAATATAAGAGGTTACTTAAGTCCGATTAGCCTGGCGTGCAACAAACATTTCCATTTCAGCTTTCCAGAATTGACATTCTCCATTACAGCTTTGTAATGTGGGGTTTTCCTTAATACACTGACATACAAAAAAATAATGTTGCCTGCACTTTTTTTGAATGTCCTTTGTTTTCCTCTCCTCACTACTATGTGCAAAATGCACAGAGCAATCTAATATTTTAAAGTCCAAGTATACAAGGTAATGAGAGTTCTTAGTTCTGCTGAGACCAAGAAGACGTGAGTTCACCAAGCTCCTCCCCAGGATCAAACCTTTAAAAAAAAAAAATCATTACCTAACCCCTCTGCATAATCTACTAGTTCACAGTCTTGAGTACTTGGAGGAACAGTAATGCACATCATTCCAGATCTTTGCAGCCAAGGAAAATGCCCTTTTAATCTAAAAGGGAAAAGCCACAGACTTGAGACAACTTTGTATATGATTTCCTTGGCTCTCCACCTGCTTCTCCCTCTTGAGGTAGATGGCATTAGAGCAGAAGGACCCCATTTTGGCCTACTATTGCTAATGCATCTCTGCAGTCTTAATGGAGTTCTTGATTTCTTACTTTTCTAAGTGAAAGCAAATTCAAACCTTGTGTCCCTATAGGTGATTCCTCCCTACAAAGTGACGGGTAAGACGAGCTGTGTGGTAATCACTCATTACCTTTGGAAACTTGTGAAATATTCCAAGGCCCTCAGGCACTCTTCCTAAAACTAAAAGTCTAAGTTTGCTTTCATCTCATTCTTTTTGTGTGTCATACAGCAGTATGAGATACAAGGATGATTGCAACAGCCCCCTGCCCGAAGGCTGTAAATAATTCCCTCACTGAGTTTCCAAAGAAGGAAGAAAATCAGGATACAATTAGAAATGCCTGGAAGAAAATAAGTAGGGAGCCAATTTGCATCAATGTTATGTCTCCCCAAACAGTATAACATCCTGGTGGGCAGGAACCGTAGAACAGTCTCCCTGTCCTAACCATCATTCTCAGGCACCAGTCCAGCTAGCTCGCTGTGAAGATGATTTGCCCAGACTGGTGGAATTTCTATACCCCATACAGCTTGAATCAAGGATTGGTCTGATATGAAGGGAGAACAAACAAAAAAGAGCTGTTCCCAGCTGCAGCATGGTCTACGCTACAGAATTGATGTGCACTCTGCATTAAAGATTAAAAGACCATAGCTAGCAAGCATATTAATTCCTGTTCCACCAGCAGACAATTTAATTAAGATGACTTCTTTATGCTGCAATCTCTAGCTTCCTCCAGAGATGGGCAGTATCACTGTGCTACTAATTAGCTAACAAGAGGAGTGGGGTATGCACCTGATAAGTGAAGAGGAGTGCATGACAGGAAGCTGCTTCAGCCTTAAAATGCAGTGCATTTCCTTTCAAATACATCTCTAGTTGATGTAACTTCAGTCCCTTATTTGGAGATGCACTTGAAAGAAAATAAGATTTTGATGCTTTTGATTGAATAGATGGCCAGAGCTTGCTATAATTTCATAGATTTCATAGACATCAGGGCTGGAAGGGACCTCGGAAGATCATCGAGTCCAGCCCCCTGCCCAAAGGGCAGGAAGTCAGCTGGGGTCATAGGATCCCAGCAAGATAAGCATCCAGTTTCATCTTGAAGGTGTTCAATGAAGGCGCTTGAACCACCTCCGGTGGCAGGCTGTTCCAGACCTTGGGGGCTCGGACAGTAAAGAAATTCTTCCTTATGTCCAGCCTGAAACGATCTTGAAGTAGTTTGTGACCATTCGACCTCGTCATCCCTTGGGGCGCTCTGGTGAACAAACGTTCCCCCAGATGCTGGTGGTCACCCCTGATAAACTTGTAGGTGGCCATCAGATCACCCCTGAGCCTGTGCTTTTTCAGGCTAAAGAGCCCCAGGGCTCTCAGCCTGTCATCGTAGGGTCTGCTTCCCTGACCTCTGATCATGCGCATGGCTCTTCTCTGGACTCTCTCAAGCTTCTCCACATCCTTTTTGAATTGTGGAGCCCAAAACTGGACACAGTACTCCAGCTGCGGCCTCACTAAGGCCGAGTACAGGGGGAGAATGACGTCCCGGGATTTGCTTGAGAGACGTCCCGGGATTTGCTTGAGACGTCCCGGGATTTGCTTGAGATCATCGAGTCTGACCCCCTGCATAGGCAGG